TCATCGATTGTACCAAATATGCCACACTGATGAGGGATGTTGAGGGCAGGGGAGTATACATGTGTGGGTGGGGGGGCCATGTGTGAACTTTCTGTATTTTCTGCTCAATTCTGCTGTAAACCTGAAACTGCTCTAAAAAAAAAATAAAGTCTATTAAAAAATAAAAAAAAAATAGAAAAAGAAAGAAAGAAAAAGAAGTTGTGAGGATTATAGTAAGTGAAAAAAAAAAAAACCCTAGCTATTTGAATATCTGAATTAAATTAAACCTTTCTGGCCCCAGCCCACATTTTGCCATCTTAAGAAGTTTCTTCCCCCACTCTTTTGGGTTACCCCTCCTCCGTAGGCCTCCCCAGTTCAAATATTTAGCGCTGGTTTTGCAGAGAGAAGAGTCACTCAGCTCCACAGGTGGCAGCATACTTCCAATGAGGCTGCAGCTGCCACTGTTTCAGAGTGAAAGCCATCTGGCCTCCTTGGCTAACTCATTACTGAAACATCCTGCTGAGCCGCCACATGCCCCCGACCACCAACCCATGAGGCCAAGGAGGGACCCAGTCCCACGCAGCTGCTGTGGTCAGCAGGCACGTGGCAAGGATGCAGAGGGTACCTCTGTGAGTACAGGAGGGGCCTCCCTCCCCTGGAAGCAGGCGTTACAGCGGACACTTCACCTGCCTCTCCCACGTCTTGGATCGGTTTTCGTATTACAGACTTCTAAGGTACCCAGCTGTCTCTGCTGACACCCACTCTCAGCCACTTTCTCAAAGCACACCTCCAGCCAGCACGGCCAAGTTGGAAAGCATGTCAGACACAGCAGCACACTGTGACAGAACCACTCTCTCCCGTGGCTTCTTTGGTCCTCAGCATCCCTGGAGGAAGAGAAAGACCCTCCCTCTCAAACTCTCAAGCCTGTCTCCTACAAGTGGATGAGTGTGTTTCATCTGTAGGAAAACCACACCAACGGGTCAAGGTCCTGGAGCAGCCCTGGGGACAGAGGGGATGCTCCCTTCACCTGCTGCGCCCCTCTTAGAGCCACACACATTTGAGACCACCAAGTAACTTAGAGGTGGATAAAATGGGGGGTATTTGACCACTCAGTTTATGTTTCATGATAATTACCTAGGAAAGCTGTTGCTCTGGTGTCCTAAGGAAGATGGTGAGGCAAGTAAAGTAGGCAAGGTGGGCATAGCAGAGGAGGGGCAGAGAGTGTAGTGGGTAAGAGCATGGATGCCAGTGACAGAGCAAGTCAGGCTGAACATGGAGAAGGAAGAAGGAAGGCAAGACTGGAAAAGGAAGCAAAGAAACTGGTACATCGTCTTCACTGATAATAAATATTTATGACATTTAGGCAAGGTTCCAATACGTAATAGCTTTCTGAACTTGGGACATTTCCTTAAGTTTTCTGAACTTTCCTATTCTCATTTATAAAAATGAGATTATTCAGTACATTATCACTTCAATGTAGTGGTTTGAGAAGTAACCCAGCGAGTATCTGCGAAAATATCTCACACATGTAATAAACACTCAATAAATCTTAGTTAAATGTAGGTGTAAGGTACAAATTTTAAATCAACAATGTACTGCCATTTGTTGAATTTTTTTAAAGGCTCCATTAGATTACACCCCCGGTCTCGTAAACCCTAGAATTAACTAAGATGCACACATTAAGTCCCTAACAGCTGCCATAGCGGGGTACGTCACTTGGGGCTCTTCCTACAAAAACCACATGAAATACATGAGTGTGGGCTGGCTCCAGTCTCTCTTCAAGTGGGTGGGGGCACAAACACTCACTGCTACAATCGCAGGGTCAGTTGTGTACTGGAGAAGCTCAACGTGTATCTGAAATCTTGATAATTATAAAAGGAGACATTCAGTCTTTAACGGCTGCTGAAAATACTGCAGTACAACAGAGAATGATAGAACCTGCCTGAAAATAGCTACCCAGTTTCCCTTTCGTGATTGAAATAAAAAAATAACTTCCTGCCCTGAATGCCTCATTAAAATTCTCTGCAGTTGAATAAGTTCTAGAATTGTTCCCATTACTGTGAGCCTTGGATGCCAGGGTCTGGAACTCGGCTTGGAGAAATGGAAGACTGTAACTAGGATGGGGGCACCCAGGCTCCTGCATTGGTTTCCCTCAGTCTGGAAACGGGCTTGATGGGAAGGAAGCAAGAGGTCCTCAGTACCGTGCGTGACCTTCAAAACAGTCCAGGAGTGTAACCCTCAGCAATCTTTTTAAAAAGGATATTGTGTGTTAGCTCCTGCAGGACAAGATTGTCTTACTATCTTTGAATCCTCACTCCGTGACTCCTGACGCGTCATAGATGTAGGGGGTCACTGTCTGATAAAAGCATGGAAGCAAAGAACCAGAAGAAGGAAGACTTGAGGAAATAACTGAACAAATAGCTGACAATCAATAAATGCTGAATAAATGAGAGAGTTGGAAAAGCTGCTCAGTAGGGCTTTTCCAAGTGCCTGAAGCCCCAGAGAAGTGTCTAGGGCCTCGGCTTTACAAATTCAGGAGCCAGATTTTATCCGGAGGGATGAGAAGAGATCCTCAGGGGTTTGACCCATTTAACCTGATTCAGAAAGCAGTGCTTTGTTTAATTCACCGGAGTGTCAAGTTGCTAATTTACTATGAGAAATCTTAACTTCTAGCATACAAAAGTGCTTAGCCCAATTTCTGACTCACAGTAGGCACTCAACATTATTTATGGACCTCATATAACGTTTAGTCTATTCAACAAATATTTAATGAGCACACGCTGTGAGCCAGGCACTGAGCTTAGCCCAGGGAAGACAGTGGGGAGCAAACCTATCGTATGGTGCCATCAGGCGGGCCCCTCCCATGGGAAAGTCTACACAGGAACCTTCATTAAAATGGAAATGTTGCTTGTTGCACATAGAAGCAGAGAAAACAGAATGTGATGATCTTAATAGAGAGTTTCCCCTAACTCTGAGAGATCGACGTTTGTATTTTCCTACTCTTTCTAATCTAGTGCATTATCAAAAGAAGAGTTGGCATCAGGACTTAGATCATGAACACACTGTTTCATTCCGGGTGTGCTCCTCCCCTGGGATCTCTTTAGCTTCAAGCAGAGTGCTGCACATTTGCTTCTATTTTACTTACCTCTCATCCCCCCAAAAGCATGGTGTAGTGCTTGGCATCTACTGGACATCCAGCATTTTATGAGAAACTACTACAAAAGCCAGAGCCAGTGATTCATACACTCATAAGTGTGGAAGGATTTATAAGGATAACAGAATTGTTGGCATCGCAACTGTCATATAGTGAAAAAAAAAATCAGGAATAGAGTTACTGAAACCAGGCAGATGCAGAAAGGGACCAGAATGGGTTATGATTCACAAAGAAATTAAATGGTAAATAAGGCAATATTATGCATATGCTTATATCAGCTTCCATGTGTGTATGAGTGTACCAGGGCTTCTTCAACAATAGACTACAAACTGGGTGACTTATTCAACAGAAATGTATTGTCTCACACCGCCAGAGGCTAGAATGCCCAAATC